ATTTTTATTTTCATTTTTTTTAATAAAGCAAAGACAAGCTTTATATTTTGTGCATCATTTAGGACCTTTGGGCAGAACCAGAAATCATGGCCTGAACTACTGATGTATTACGTTTTCACTTCTCACCATGGATGTTTGTCTTATTTAGAGTGAGTCGATGTGTTTCAATGAGAGCTGATGATCTTACTGTGAACAATATTACTTTAATATTCTAAGTTCTGCAGAATAGGGTTTGAGTGCAGCAGATATCAATGGTATAGTTTCTGTTTTCAAGCAGTCCTCTTCCAGTCACTATAAACTCTTATTCTTTTACAACTTCCATAATTTCTGGTGTCGCCACATATTAAAACAGCTGTATATTTTATTTTGGATTTAGATAGCTGAAGCAAAAATCAAACAATGAGTGGATTTCTAATTAGTTCAGTTTTACATAGGTTTTAAAATTGGAAGAAAATAAACTAAATATGGTTGTTTTCTTTTGCACTTTTGCTTTGAAACAAAAAAAAACAACAAAAAAGAATGAATTCTACACAGCTTTAATCAGCTGTACAGATATTGTCTTACAATGTGCTGGGGTAGTAGCTGAGAGTCATCTTGAACACATACTGTACGTACTTTGAGCATGACATCTTGTGATGCTGCATATATTATTTTCAAAGTTTGACGAGAGTTTCTTCACATAAGATGATCTCAGTGTAAAACTCTGGCATGAAAGTCACCAGCTGATGTGATAAAAAAAAAAAGTCATGTGGAAAAAAGCAAGTACAGATGCTTAAAACGTTGAGCCTAAAAAAACAAAACACCTTTTTTTCTGATGATTCATGAAACCACCTCTGCAGTTTGTAGACTTAACGTGTGAAACATTCACTCCTACGTCCTCTCGCTGCTTGGCAGGTCTGTGCTGGTTAAAATTCACGACTGCCGAGGACGACGATCACAAACCTCTGGCAGCCTACCAGCTAAGAATGTCACATGAATATGGAACATGGAGGTCAGCCGGAGAGCCGCCACGCTCCGGGACGGTGAGCCGGTCGGTGCTGATGCTATCTGGTATTCACCGCCGAACATCACCTCGGGGCAAAAGAGCCACAGGCTGTCTCTGACAAATCTGCCTCAATCCCTCCGAGACAATAAACCCCGGGCAGCTGTGAGCTGAGAGCTTTGAGCTGCTGCAGGGGTGAAGTGAAGTGAAGTCACGCTGCAGAAGTTCCATCAGAAAAAATGATAAAAGAGTTAAAACCGTGGATTAGCTTCATATGAAGTTAAATATCACCACCAGACTCTGTTTTCCCCACTAAATCCTCACTTTGAAGCCATAACTCTTACTTTCTCTCAGCTGAAAGCCCATCTAAGGCACATCACTTTTTCATTAATTTTTCTTTTTAGATTACCTGGGGCTGCAGAACCCACCTGAGACCCTGTTTCTGTGTAGAATAGAGACATTTCTCTTTTCTCTCCCATCGCTGTCGGTGAGGACATGACTGCACGACTTCTGCCTGCTCGTAGAGGGGACTGTGATTGTGAACTATGTCACGTGTCAATGTGGGACATTCCTCTGGTTTGTCCTCTTGTCTTCTGCGTTGTGTCCATTCCAACAACTCTTCATTGTGTTGAAACACCTGGAAGCCAAACCAAACACCTCCCGTTCAAAACATGTTTTCATTTCAGCTCTTTAGATGTTAAAGATACCTTGTGTCAGTAAGGATGAAAAGCTTTAAGAAACCCGGAGAGTTTTTTGGTCTCTTTAAAGTTCCCATCACCAAATTCTGTAGAGGCAGGGAGTTGTTTCCAACCTTAACTGCAGCCCAGATTCCAGACGACTTCCTGTTTAACGTTTCTCCTTCCTGTCAGAGCCGCCGTGACGGCAGAGAAATCGCTACTCGAGTAAACACGGCCGGGGCTCTTTGTTGTTCTTGTTTTCGCATTCTGATTCCCAGATAAACACGTTCAAAGCTGCTGTAACCTGACAAACAGCTCCTGAAGCTTTCTGACAGGAAGCCAATTATCCCGTTCCAGAAATGCTGCCTCTTATCTCCGGGCTTGCATCTGTAGAGTCCCCCCGCCCCTCCCGCTCCGCCTTTCGGTCACCACGCCCATCCCGGCCCCCTCCAGCAGTCCCAGACGTCCACAGGATGTGCCCCCTATCTTACTGCGTCCACCCATGGGACGGACAATCTGCCCATAGTGGTACACGCCCAGGAGCACATCAGGCCTCTGTTAGGATGACGTGTCGGGCTTTCCATGAAGATGAACTCAAGAAGGTTCAACTTTTGCTCTTGAGCTCCACTAAATTGATCTCTTCACAATCAAACTTCAGTATTGATGAATGTCTTGCTGAACTGTGTCACGCTGTGTCGAACAAACACGCTACACGTCATCTCTCGTTTCTAAAACCTAGCCCAAAAAGTCAGGAAATTAATGTTTGGTAGATTATTTCTTTGTTGTAACAATAAGTCAAACTGTTGGAATGTCAGTTCAGTTCAATTCAAATTCAAAAATTACTTTATTGATCCTAAAGGGAAATTAAATGTTGTAGTAACACATTTAACTAAAGATTTATTGTAGATGCTGATGGCAAAGCCTGTTCATTTCACTTCTAAATGGAGCCACATTTGTAAGGAACAGGCATTTGTGGGGTGAGCAGTAGAGCTGAGTATGTGGGTTGCACACGTGAAAGATTTGCCAAATCTTCTCTGTCAAACAGCTTATTTTGTTGTTGTTGTTGACGTTTGTTTCGAGCTTCTGATACCCCCAGGTGCTGCCAGTCTGGTGCCAATCAAAAGATTTATTGTCAAGAAGCATTGCTACAACAAAGAAATAATCTACCAAACAAAAAAACAACACTAATACGCTGCATAAAAAATAACACATTAGTGTTATTTTTTATGCAGCGTATTAGTGTTGTAGCACTTGAGACCCGTCTTAGTCTTAAGACAGCATTTGTACTCGGTCTTTTCTCGGTCTCAGACATTGAGGACTCCGAATTTTATTTCAAGACCACAACTGTGGAAATATCAGTAAATATAGTAAATAAAGATTGTTGTCCAATTTATTTAACATCTTTGCTTTCATTGGATTTAAAACATGCTGATTCAAATCCAAACCTGACTCAGTGATATTTATGTATTTTTGTTACTGGCTGTCACCCATTCCCACTTCACTTGCACGCAGCACTCCAGGAAAGTGAGCAGTGGTTCTCTGGGACTTGGTCTCGTCCTCCCTTGATCTTGGTCCAGGCCCTAAAAGTCTTGGACTTGACTTGGTCTCAAGACACTGTGGTCTTGGACTTGACTTGGTCTCGAGTTAGGTGGTCTTGACCACAACACTACTAAATACAGCGGGTAAAATAAGTATTGAACACGTCACCATTTTTCTCAATAAATATATTACTAGAGGTGCTAATGACATGAAATTTCCACCAGATGTCGGTAACAACCCAAGTGATCCATACATACAAAGAAATCAAACCATAAATGTCCAGAAATGAAGTTATTTGTAATAATGTGGAATGGCACAGGGAAAAAGTATTGAACACACTTACTGAAATTTATCTAATACTTTGTACAAAAGCCTTTGTTGTCACTGACAGCTTCAAGACGCCTCCTGTATGGAGAAACTAGTGGCATGCATTGCTCAGGTGTGATTTTGGCCCATTCTTCCACACAAACAGTCTTCAAATCTTGAAGGTTTYGTGGACCTCTTCTATGAACTCTGATCTTTAGTTCTTTCCATAGATTTTCTGTTGGATTCAGGTCAGCTGATTGGCTGGGCCATTCCAGCAGCTTTAGTTTCTTTCTCTGAAACCAACTGAGAGTTTCCTTGACTTTGTGTTTGGGCTCATTGTCTTGCTGAAATGTCCAGCCACGTTTCATCTTCATCATCCTGGTAGATGGAAGCAGATTTTTATCAAGAATGTCTCTGTACATTTTTCCACTCATCCTTCCTTCAATTATTTGAAGTTTGCCAGTACCATATGCTGAAAAACAGCCCCACACCATGATGTTCCCACCTCCAAACTTCACTGTTGGTATGGTGTTTTTGGGCTGATGTGCAGTGCCATTTGACCTCCAAACATGATGTGTATTCTGGCATCCAAACAGTTCAATGTTGGTCTCATCTGACCAGACTATATTCTCCCAGTATTTCACAGGCTTGTCTAAATGTTGTGCAGCAAACTTTAAAGGAGCTTCAACATGCTGTTTCTTCAGCAGTGGAGTCTTGCGTGGTGAGCGTGCATACAGGCCATGGTGGTTCAGTGCATTACTTATTGTTTTCTTTGAAACAATCGTACCTGCTAATTCCAGGTGTTTCTGAAGCTCTCCACAAGTGGTCCTTGGCTCTTGGACAACTCTTCTGATAATTCTTTTCACTCCTCTGTCAGAAATCTTGTGAGGAGCACCTGGTCGTGGTCGGTTTATGGTGAAATAATGTTCTTTCCACTTCTGAATTATGGCCCCAACAGTGCTCACTGGAACCTTCAGAAGTTTAGACATTCTTCTGTAACCGATGCCATCATTATGCTTTGCAACAATAAGGTTGTGAAGGTCTTGAGAGAGCTCTTTACTTTTACCCATCATCAGATGGTTCTTGTGTGACACCTGGCCATCATTTGGGACTGAACCAGCTGATATTAATTTGCACTGACAAGGGGCAGGCTTGCTTTCTAATTACTGAGAGAGTTCAGCTGGTGTCTTGGCTTTCAATGCCTTTTTACACCTCCCTTTCTTCATGTGTTCAATACTTTTTCCCTGTGCCATTCCACATTATTACAAATAACTTCATTTCTGGACATTTATGGTTTGATTTCTTTGTATGTATGGATCACTTGGGTTGTTACCRACATCTGGTGAAAATTTCATGTCATTAGCACCTCTAGTAATATATTTACTGAGAAAAATGGTGACATGTTCAATACTTATTTTACCTGCTGTATATATTAACTGGAGGAAAAGATCAGTTTGTTGTTTTTCTTTTTCATATTAAAAAACATCTATTAATAAGCTAAAAGGCTGTATCATCAAAATTTAAGCCTTAAAATGATTCTTCGGCTCTTTTCAAATGGGATTCTATAAATGTTATAAATAGTTAGTATCTTACCTGTTGTGGATAGCTCTTTTTAAGGAACTCAGTTTGGAGAAACAGTTTAGATTTTTTTTTAATCTAAAGAGAAACAGTTTAGTTCTGACTGAACTAACGGCTTGCTGAGCGAAGAACAAATTGCTGCTACTTAAAAATAACTCCAGTCTCAAACAATACACAACAGCATCCACTGCTAGCGGTTAGCCTGGGATACTTCCTGTAGGGACATAATAATATGTCTGAAAGAATAATCACGTGAAGTGAAACTGACAGTGATGAACAGGTTTGTACATCAACATTTACTTAAATTACCATGAAAGTTTCGAGAATAGAGTTGTTTTGGATGACAACAATCCACATTGATTTCGTCTCCACTACGATGAAATCTTATAAATATTTTTTTCAAAAAGACTAATAAATCAAACTCGCTCTGTGATTGACTCCTGCTCATAAAAACACAAAACATGAACTCATTCATCATTTTAATATTAATTACCAATTTCTCTAGTCAATTTCTCACTGACTAGAGAAATTGCACTTCCTGTGAACATGCTGTGAATGCCTGTTGCTGAAAACTTAAGCTGAAAGCTGTTGAAATTGAGCTGAAAATGTTTGATATCAAAATTATTATTGTAAGTAAAGCTTAAAAAGCTGAAGGAAGCAAACATAACAGAAGCAGAAAAACAGTAAAAAGGAGCAAAAATATGGCTGAAAAGGCATAAAAAAGTCTAAAAGCTAAGAGCTAAAATAGCTGAATAAAGCAGAAAGCAACTGTAAGAAGCATAAATAACTCAAATTTGCAGGAAGGAGCACAAAGAAGTAGAAATTAGCAGAAGAATAACAGGCAGAGGCAGAGATATAGCTGAAATACTTGAATTACCAAAATTAAACATGACATAATTTGTTAAATCTGGCCCTTCACTGCACCAGTTATTATCACTGTGGCAGCACAACTGATTAGTTGTTGTCGCCTCACAGCAAAAAGGTCTTGGGTTCAATCCCTGGTTTGGACCTGGAGTCTTTCTGTATGCAGTTTGCACATTCTCCTCATGTTTGCGTGAGTTTTCTCCTGGTACTCCGGTCTCCTCCCACAGTCCAGAAACGTGCATGTTGGGCTGCTTTCAGGCCCAGACCTCCCTTTGGATTTGTTAAATAAAATGTAAATTTTAAAGAAATGAAGGGTGAATCGTAGTGAGTCATCGATGAGCACTTAATCTGCACTTCAGCATCACCTCTTCAACAGACTCTTAATTTCACAAATGAAACAAACTGATGGCTGAAGATGCTTAAGAATGATTATGAAGGCGAACAACAAGGCATTTAGGTGGGCACGGTCACAAAAGAGGAGCAAACGTAGCAGGTGAAGGAAGCGAAACATGACAAGGCTCATAAAGGTGCTTTCATCTCTGTCGTAGCAGCTTGTTCTTAAAATAGTGATTCCGATTGTAAAGGGTCATTTGAAGTGAGTCAAGGCCACAAGCCTGCTGTCCACATCTAATAATCCTATCTTTAAAGCACTTTGCTGACATGTGTCCTACTGATAAAAGGTTTTGTCTGCTTGAAGCTGGTGGATCTGATTTGTTTCTGCTTGTCAAAGCTTTAAAGATCCACATTTAACGTCTACGGTGACTGTGGTTTAGGCCCGTCAGCCTTTATTCCTCAAAAGTGACATGAATGGTTTTTTTATGTATTAAAGCCGCGCACACAGGTGCTGGCATGATTTGACATTGATTCATTGATATTCCGATGAGCTCTGTAGATAAAGTCTTCTCCTCCGGCCCCAGAGGATTTGTAATGTCCCCCCTCAGAGGTTTCTTTGATATTGAGGAGTGGTTATGATCAGCATAAACGAGGCAAAATGTGGTCAGTGGAGAGTGGGCCGAGCGCAGACAAGGACATCTTTAATTAGCGCCTGTAGTTCAGCGCCCCGTGCTCCTAAACCAGCAGATCTGCATGCATTTTTCAT